GATGGATATGCTGTAATTGTTTAATCTGTATTCCAAGCAATAGGTGTTTTTTTTTTTTTTTTCTTTTTACCTTTTTGCTGTTACAAAAGTAACAAACATTTGCTGGTGCCTGGATCACTCAGTTGCTTAAGAGGCCAACATACTTTTCTTTTTTCTTTTTTTTTTACACATTTATTTATTTTTGAGAGGCAGACTGAAACAGCAGTTGCAGGGGAGGGGCAGAAAGAAAGAGAGATACAATATCTCAATCAGCCTCCAGGCTCTGGGGAAATGTTCAGCACAGAGCCCAATGTGGGGCTCAAACCCACGAACCATGAGATCAATACCCGAGTGACCAGAGCCAAAGTTGGACGCTTAACCAAGTAAGCCACCCAGGCATCCCGAGAAGGCCACTCTTGATTTCATCTCATGTCAAGATCTTGTGGCTCATGAGTTCAAGCCCCATATTCGGCTTTGTGCTGACAGTGTGGAGCCTGTTTGGATTCTCTCTCTTTCCCTCTCTCTCTGTTCCACCCTGCCTTTCTCTATCAAAATAAATAAATGAGCTTAAAAAATTAAAATTAAAAAAAAATTGCTTTTTTAAAAAATCTTTGTTTATTTCCTTTGAGAGAGAGAATGCAGGGGAGGGGCAGAGAGAGAAGAGGGAGAGAGAGAATCCCAAGAAGGCTGTGCCATCAGTGTAGAGCCTGATGCAGGGCTTGATTCCACCACCAGGAGATCATGACCTGAGCTAAAATCAAGAGTCAGCTGCTTAACTGTCTGAGCCACCAGATGCCCCTCTTTTTAAATATATATTTCAAGTTTTTATTTAAATTCTAGTTAGTTAACATATATGGTAAAATTGCTTTTAAGTATAGAATTTAGTGATTCATCACTTACATGTATATTTCTTTCTTATCTGAGGTCTCCTGTAAAATAAATTTCTAGCAGGTTATTTGTGCGTGTAAATTGTGACAATAATTGTTAAATAATTTTTATAATATTATTTGAAATTTCTTGTCTTTGGCACATAGTATGCATTGAATAAATGTTAATAGTAGGAAAGAAGAAAGGAAAGGAGTAAGGAAAAAGGGAAGAGAGTCAGGTAGTCTGGTCTTCTGGGGACCTTTACTTAAGTGAAAGAGAATAGGGACCTCCCAGTGGAGATTTGTGACTGCCTTTACTTACCAACTTTCTATTGTGCTTTTGAATCTTTTTATTTCTGTGCTTTTTAAAATATTATAGACTTTCTCTATCTTTTAGAGTCCAGCTTGAATGTTATAGAAGGATATAACAAGTATAAGAAAGAATATAGCAGATAAAACGTTAAATGTTTTATTGTATGGTCCTGTCATACCCTCAACTTTTTTTTTTTTTTAATCACAATTGCAACTTTTTTTCAGTCTGTCTCTCAGGTAGACAAGAAGCAAGGAGCGCCATAAGGATAGAGACTGTGCCTGTCTTATTTGTAACTATATTCTCTACTCTGTCTGGGTGCTTAGCATTTGTTAAAAGCAAAAAGCAGAGGGAGAGATATAGAGTGTGACTGAGAGAGAGAGAGAGAAAGAGAGAGAGAGAGAGAGAGAGAGAGAGAAATAGATCTAGAAGAGATAGGGAGACAGACCAAGAGACAGAGATACAGATAGAAAGTAAGGAAAAGAAACAGGGATGGGGAGAGGAGAGGAAGGACAGGAACAAGAAGGTTAGAGGAGAATTATGTTAACTGAAGGGTAAGAAAGGAAAAAAGGCACCAAGCTACAAGAATCTCTATTTTTGACTTCATAATTAGGAAACTTTGGATCATTTTCCAGAAAACCAAAGCTTACATCTATAGCTGGGCTGCTAAGTGCAGGGAAAAAGCTATGAGTGCCCAGCATCAAAATCATTTCAAGGGCTTGTCTTATAATTTAAGTTGTGCAGCAAGAACTGAGCAAGTAAAGGTGAACACCTACTTTCTATTACCTGATGCTGTGGGAATGGAAATGTAATTACAGTCATCAATCTATCATGGTGAGAGAAGCTTGGAAATTACATTGAACTAGGAGCTCATGTAATATAACAATGTAATGGTTTTATGAAGCAGATTTGCTTATTTTCATTTTAGATTAACATGTAATGTAGCAGAGACATTTATAAAACATTTTCCAGTTAAAATTTCTTTTTTAATCTATTACATCATAACTATGTCTATATGTATATATGTGTATATATATATACACATACATCACGCATATATTTTCATAATTACAATGGATGGAGACACTCACATTAAAGAAGTGAACTATCTTAAATTTTATACCGTTCACAAATGTTAAATCTAAATAGAATATAATTTATTTAATTTATAGGCTTCTTTCTTCTTCTACCTATCTCTCAGTATCTTCTTTTTTGGGCCATGTGTCTCTCTTCACCAACATTAGAAAGTAAGTTCATAAAAGGAAAGTAAACCAAATATTCAAATAATTAATAGCGGGTTGTTAATTTTTTGTTCATTTTACTTTATCAATATTCTCATACTTATACTCATGCATATATATATATGTATATATGTATATAATTTGTGCCCAACAAATTATATAATTTGTGCCCAGTAATATATTATATATATTATTTGTGCCCAACTGATGACTGATTCCAGTAATACCAGAGAATGAGACTCAAATTATCCTTTAATAGGAGGATTTGTTAACATATGGAACATGCCTCATTTGGCTTTCCTCTCAGTTTATTGGAGTTAAATCAACAGGGGTTTGATGCTGTTCATACCTTGAAGAAGCAACTGGCAGAAAGTAGTGCTCATGGAAGTTTCCTTTACAAGTTAGAAAAACATTTTGGCTTCATCCTACATATACTGCACTCCAAGGTCTATTGCTACTGTTTTCCGAATTACTCACTGGCTTGATGAATGGCAGTTACAAGTAGGGCTTTTATTGCAATGTACAGATGTTGATATTTTCCACAATTTTCTTGGAGTAAATGGAAGGCTTTCATATTGAAAAACCTCATTTTGGTTGTAATAAAAGAACTTAGATTTCCACTTTTTAAAGATCCATATAACACCTACATTTTTATTCTTATTTTTTAAATAAAGTTTGTTTAAAGAACCTGTCTTCCTTGGCATTGATAGAAAGCAGATGTTACCTAATGGGATGTAGCCAGAGATTTAATGAGTAATAACAGAGAGTTAGAATAATCATGTTGAGGTCAGAAATGGGTTAGAATTATTATATAAAACTGGATACAGCTAACAAGAGTTTGTGTATTTGTATGTGTGTATGTATGAATATATATACAGATATGAATATCTATACATATAGATACACATATATATCTATATCTATATCTATATCTAATCTATATCTATATCTATATAGATATAGATATAGATATATATAGAGAGAAAGATTTAGAAAGAGGAAAAGAGAGGGTACTGAAAAGGAGAGAGAAAAAGAAAATTCGGGGTGAAAATGTTGCACAATCAAATTCAGTTCTACAAATGACTTAGGATTTAGCAACATTTTAAATTTATTTTAATTATGTATTTGAAATTTGCATAGTGTGTGAGACATTTATTTTTATTTATTTATTTTTTTTACAAATAGTTTATTGTCAAATTAGTTTCTACATAACACTCAGTGCTCATCCCCAAAGTGCCCTCCTCCATGCCCATCCCCCCCCCCCCCCCCCCACCATCAGTCCTCAGTTTTTGTCAGCATTCAAGAGTCTCTCATGGTTTGCCTCTCTCCCTTTCCCCCACCATTTCCGCCCTTCTTCTCCCCCTTGTTCCTCCGTCAAGTTCCTCCTAATCCTCCTATACGTGCAAACATATGATATTTGTCCTTCTCTGCCTGACTTATTTCGCTCAGCATAACACCCTCAAGGTCCATCCATGTTCATTTAAATTGGGGCTTATAATTTGATATTAAGAAATGTACAGATGAATTTCCTGGAAAACTTTTCAAGGGCTTTTAAAGTACATACATTTGCTTTTATAATACTACACCTATTCACCATTTGGATACCTTTTTATGTCCAGACACTTACGGTTGTGTTAGGAAAAAAAAGTTTGCATTATGTTAATATGACTTCGTAAATAAATAGGACTCTTGCCTTCTGTATAATTATTCACAATGGCAAAACTTTAGTGCGAAATCCAAATGATATCCACAGCTCTCAAAATCCTATTTTCTGTGATCTCATTTAACTGTATTAAGGAATCTTGAGAACTTAGTCATACTGTGCATGCAAATACTTCCAAGGCCAGGGAGCTATGTAGTGAGAAAAGAAAGTAATTTTGGAGAATCTCCTTTTAGAAATGTTTCACAGTTTGGTTTATAGGGTTTATTTATTAAAGTTTAAAAATTTTTTACTTTTTTTAATGTTGAATTATTTCAATAGAATAGTTTTTTAATATTAGATTAATTTTAAGCAATCCAGAGTAATAAGTGCTATTTTTATTTTTGTTTTTTTTTTAATTGGGCCAAAGTAATAATGAAATATACAATAGATTTTAGAGCAGTTTTAGTTTTACGGCAATATTAAGAGGAAGGTATAGAGATTTCCTATATACCTCTTGCCCCCACGCATGTACAGCCTACCCATTATCAACATCCGTAACCAGAATGGTATATTTGTTATACACCCAAAGTCCATCTTGGTGTTGTATAATCTACAGATTTTAACAAATATATAATGACATATACAGTATCATACAAAGTATTTTTTTCACCCACATCCCCCGTGCTATGCCTGTTCATCCATTCCCTTTAACCTCTGATCTTTTTAAAGTCTCCGTAGTTTTACCTTTTACAGAATGACGTATAGAAGATAGTCATAGAGTCATTTAGTATGGGGCCTTTTCAGGTTGACTTCTTTCACTTACTCATATGCATTTAAGTTCCTTCCATGTCTTTTCATGGCTTGATAGCTCATGCCTTTTGAGTTCTGAATATTACATTGTCAGGATGTCCCATAATTTATTTATCTATTCACCTACTGAAGGGCATCTTGGTTGCTTCCAGGTTTTGGCAAATTATGAATAAAGCACATCTGAGTCAGCTTTTGCGTGGGCATGTTTTCAACTTTAGGTAAATATCAAGCAATGCTATAATGATTTTTTCATGATGCATTTAATTTTGTAATGTTTTCTTTTTTTATTTGGCATCTGTGGAGTTTTTAATAATTTCTATTTTACGTGTAACTATGTTTTGGTAACTTTCCAATGACAGCTAACCTATCTATATATTTGCATGTTTATATGCTACATTCTATCAGTTTTTGTGTCTCTGTACCTACTAATAGGTTTTGTCTGGTGAAATAACTTTGTTTGAATAGTCCATAAATGACCCTCAAAATGATAAAGTGAAACAAAGCCAAAAATTCTAAACAGTGTTTGAATAACCCAAATGCATTTTTGTAGTTCTATCTTTCTGTTAGTCTTACTTACCTGGGCACCATTTTGCTCATGGGAAATTTCTTAAGAGTTTAAAAAGACTGAATAATACTCATTATTATCCATGGATTTTCAGACAATTTGTGTACTTATTTATTCTTATTGTTTATGAAGTATTTCTAAGTAATTTATTAATTGAAGAGATTCTGGTTTTCCTTTATAGCCCCTCTTTCTGATCACATTAACAACTTTTTTTTTAATTTAATAGATGCTCAAATAAAAGTAAATAATACCAGTGAGGTGTGGATGGAGATGAAGGTCTGGTTTCTTTTTATAGAAGACATTACCCAGATTTCACTGGTACGAATAGCCCTGAACTCATCTGAACTCTCAGTTTCCCCAATTGGGCATAGTACTGAAGTAGTGAAAGATGTACATTTAAGGAAAAGAGAGCAAACTTTTCCAGCTTTATTGAGGTACCGTTGACAAATAAAAATTGTATATATTTAAGGTGTACATTGTGATGGTTTGATATAATATACATTGTGAAATGATGGCTATAGTAAGCTAATTAAAGCTAATTAACACATCCATCATTTCACATAGTTGCTGTGTGTGTGTGTGTGTGTGTGTGTGTGAGAGAGAGAGAGAGAGAGAGAGAGAGAGAGAATACAAGATTTACTCTTAGCAAGTATTGTCAAGCTATAATATTGTATTATCAACTACAGTTACCAGGCTGTACATCAGAGCCATAGAACCTATTCATCTTATAACTGAGTTTGTGCTCCTTAACCACCTTTCCATTCCCCCTACCCCCAGCCCCTGGCAACCAACATTTTCTCTTTGCTTATGTGAGTTTGATTATATTTAGATTCCATATATAAGTGAAATCATGCAGTACTTGTCTTTCTGTGCCTGGCTTATTTTACTCAGCATAATGCCCTTGAGATTCATTTGTATTGTCATAAATGGCAGGATTTTCTTCTTTTTTTAATGGATGATTGATATAATAATATAATAATAATATTTTTATGGATATATGATATGTGTACATTACATACACAAAATGTGATATTATATATACCATAGTCTTTATCCATTCAGCTTTCGATGGACACTTCACTTGTTTCCATATCTTGACTATTGTGAATAATACTGCAATGAAAATGGGAGTGCTGGTATCTCTTTCACATCCAGGTTTCATTTTCTTTGGATATATACTCAGAGATGAGACTGCTAGATCATATGGTAATTCTACTTTTAATTTTTTGAGGAATTTCCATACTTTTTTTTTTATAATGGCTGTACTGATTTACATTCCTACCAACAGCTGTACAAGGATTCCCTTTACTCTCTACCAACACTTATCATCTCTTGACTTTTTGGTAATACCACTCAAACAGGTGTGAGGTGATATCTCATTGTAGTTTGATTAGCATTTTCCTAATGATTAGTCATGTTGAGCCCATCTTTAAATACCTGTTCTTCATCTGTATATTTCCTTTGGAAAAATGCCTATTCAGTGCCTTTTCCCACCTTTTAACCAGGTTATTTATTTGCTATTAAGTTGTATGAATTCCTTATATAATTTGGACGTTAATGTCTTATCAGATACACGGTCTTCAAATATTTTTTCCCAAAAGTGAGTTAATTCTAACAAAATGTTATGCTGCTTTAATGCCTTCAGACCAATCCCCACTTCTTGCTTTTATCTCTTGTTCTATCTTGTTTATTTCCTATGACTCTCATTCATTTTTCCGTACATTATAGTAATTAATGCCTAACATCTATCTCCTTTACAATTTTAATATTCTTTAAATCAGTTTCTAAGCCCATCAGCTTAAAAATAATAGTACAGAATGTCCATTGGTTTAATTACTCAATATAACTTAAAGACATTTTATCTTAATGTTTTATCAGAATGGGCTTAAAGCTAAAAAATCCTTTGGGACCTTATTTTTGATACTGCAAAGTCTCCACAAGTGATATAAGCCCCTTTCTAAATGTAAACCTATGGTTCTTGTTAAAATTATAAAGGCTTTTATACCCAGATTGCTATCTTAAATCTTGTTATTAGCCTAGAAACTTGCTAGCAGATGGGTTTTATCAGTCATGGTTGAATTTACTCTGGGTGGCCTATAACCATTATGTCATTATCAATTGCAGGATGAGCTGGTCATACTGTTTGTAATTTCACTAAGTTGTTCTATCAGCTCTCAAGAAGTCAATGCAAATAAACGGGTTCCAAACCCCTTCAGAATACACTGTAAATCTTTGTAACTTCATGGCCAAATGGTAAACCGCAGGACCACATGACTCAATTCCCTTGAGGCAGTCATGTTATTCCTGTCAGACTTTTCTTCCCTCATTCATCAGCTGGAGGCTTTCATCTCCTTTTAAAGTCATGGCCTTTCAAGTAGGGGTGAAATTACACCTGTCAGTAATAAATGTTCCCAGTACTCTCTATCATTCTGTCATTGCACAAAAGAAATTAAAAGGAAGCATAGCCTATTCCAAATTTATTTAGCAATACTTTGTTTTCCTTTCTCTGTAGTACTTTTAAATACCTTCCAGTTATGTAATTGTTGACAGTATTTTTTAAATATCCACCTAATTTGAGGAATGGTATAAAAACGTGGGAGAGGTGGGGGGATTAGCTTCCGTGTGAGTTATACATTATTTTCAGTAACTACATGAAACTTATTTGACAGAAAGATTTAGCTGTATACACAATCTACAACGGCAATCTAAATGTGCCCCTTAGCACACTTGTTCTGTTTATTTTTTCTGCATTACGCTCTGATAACTTTGTGGTTGCCTGTAATACCATACAGCAGGTGCACCTGGGCAGCCACTATTTTATTTACATAGAGAACAAAGTTAATGTTTTATCAAATTCAGCCCACACCTGGGTTGAGACATTAGTAGGAAGCAGAGTTCAAATCAAAGTTACAATTTGTTCTTAGTCTGATATTTGAACTCCATTAAGCAAACTCTCTTGAGTTCTCTTGAAAGTTTTGATGACTTGGTCTCTTAACTTCCCATTAGCCAAAGGAGGAAAGTCAGACGACTAAATGCACTACCCATGATGCTACAACTCAGTATGGCAGGTCTTGCTTCAAACAATGAAAATAACTTAAATGTGTCATTACTATCCATAATCATACACTGTCCCAGGCTACTGGTATGTAAAGAGAATGATTTAAAAACAAATGTTATGGCTTCATATACCTGAGTGTAAGGGGAAAAGTTTTCATCAATGCCCTAATACTGAACTAGAGGGACAAATGAATATTGTGTGAATTTCACAGATCACTGATGATGGTCATGCTCTAAGGGTTTGTTGGTTGTTATTGGTGGTGGTGATATCTCTCAAGGAGAAAGTGTATGCCACTTGTTTTTAGATGAATGATACAACTAAGAATACATGACTACAATTAGCCACCCACAATTGCTAAAATAAATGTATTTTATTTTTTTATTGTTTTAAATCTTTATTTACTCTTGAGAGAGAGACAGAGTGTAAGCAGCAGAAGAGCATAGAGAGAGAGGGAGACACAGAATCCGAAGCAGGCTCCAGGCTCTGAGCTGTTAGCACAGAGCCCGATGCAGGGCTTGAACTCACAAACCACACGATCATGACCTGAGCCGAAGTCGGACACTCAACCGACTGAGCCACCCGGGTGCCCCAAATATATTTTATTTTAACAGAGCATACAGGAAGTATTTAATTCCTCTGTTTCTAGATCTTGTTTTCTACCTTCTGTTTTCCCTTTTCTTCTTTCCCATAATGAGAAAAATAACACAGTCAGATCATAAAACCTAGTAAGAAGGATGGATTAATCCAGCTTGCTACTGAAGAATTTATCTCAGAATCACAATGTGAATGTCATTTCTCCAGAAATGATCATATTAGGGTTTGTTAAGAAAAAACCTAAAGTATCTATCAAGCCTAATCAACTAATATCCTTATTTATAGAAACAACTTTGTCCACATGTAAGGCTGAAATAAATTATTATTTAATGTTATATTTTGTGAAATATCTGTATCTGTATTAATAATTTGTGAAATTTGAATTATCCCTATTTGTTACCCATATCATCTTTATACTAAGTGATATTCTATAGAGTATTTATTTACTTTGAGAGAGAGAGAGAGAGAAAGAGAGCAAGCAGGGGAGCAGCAGAGAGAGAGGGAGAAAATCCCAAGCAGGCTCTGTAGCATGGAACCTGATGTGGGGCTTGAACTCACAAACCATGAGATCATGACCTGAGCCGAAATCAAGAGTTGACAGCTTAACCAGTTGAGCCACAGGGACTCCCCTGATGGTTTTTAGTTTAATTAAAAAAACATTTTTTTACACTTATTTATTTTTGCAAGACAGAGCACAAGTGGGAGAGGGGCAGAGAGAGAAAGAGTCACAGAATCCGAAGCAGGCTCCAGGCTCCAGTCTGTCAGCAAGAACCAGACGTGGGGCTTGAACCCACAAACTGTGAGATCATGACCTGAGCCGAAGTCAGAGGCTTGAATGACTGAGCCACCCACATGCCGCTGTAGTTTAAAGTGTCAACTAAAACTTCCACATATAGAGGTTGAACTGAATACTCTCAGTCCTCTGAATTAAAAATGAAATGATCCTGGTCTTCCCAAGTCCTAACACTCTGGCCTCGGGTGGTCA